ATATAGTGCCCTTACAAGATTCCGAGGTGACAGCAGGCGATGCGATTCATTGCTTAAGCACACTGCAGCTTTTTTGCTTATGCATGTTCACTGGCTGATTCCTTTGCCCACAAAATTCGATTCAGCCTCTTGCATCAATACTGCGACCTGAATTGGGCCCAACCACAACTCCAACAGTAAGCTCGGCCCTCATAAGTGTGCCTGTGGTACTTGATGTTCCAAAGTACTTCATGCTCAATCATGAATACAAGTATTCATCATATAATGTATTCATCTCTCTTGTTTCTACCTTAGATCTGGTAGAAACAAGAGAGATGAACTTGACTGCTTTTTTGGTGGAACAGAATGTCGATTTGGTGTTGTGATGTTTTCGGAAACATGGTTTGCTTCAGAAGATGATGCGTATAGTTTTGCCAGTTAAAAATCCTTTTACATGAACTGCCGTGATAGACGTGGGGGAGGTGTTTCAATGCTGGTTTCAAATTCATTTACCTCTGAGCTTCTTTCTGAATTCTGTCGTACTAATCAGCACTATGACGCTGTCGTAGTTAAATGTAGCAATATAATTTTTTGTGTTTGCTACCGGCCTCCATCGGGAAATTATTTGCTGTTCTTGTCGTATTTAGGTTCTCTGTTAGAATTTGTTAACAAAAACTACTACCAAATAGTTATTGGAGGTGACCTAAACATAAGTATGATCACCGAGAATAAGATGAAATTAGAGTTAGAATCTCTCCTAAATATACATCTCTGTCAAAATGTTATAACATCGCCTACGCGAAATACACCAACATGTGAAATTGCATTAGAATTGTTTTTAACTAACTTTGATGTGTCTTCTGTGAAACCTGGTGTTTTAGTATACGCAATAAGTGACCACTTACCTGTGTTTATACCGTAATTACTCGAATCTAACGCGCACCTTTTTTCCGGTTAAGCGAGTTCATAAATCGCATGCGCGTTAGAATCGAGTACGAACAAAAAAATTACGGTCAATCTATTGCCATCGCAAATCCAAAATGGCCGCCCCCTACGTGCGTTGGCATGGTGCGTCGGCTATTTCTGCCTATGTGTTTACCATGTGCGGCACTTCGTACGTGTGCTGAGGAGTTCGTCATCTAGTAGTGCATTAGCATCGACGACTTGTAAGGGCCGACTCCAAAAACTCGAGTGCACCACGATGCCGCTTTTAAAAGAAAAGTCATCGCGTGTGCAGAAACGGACGAAAATCGGGCCGCATCGTGGTCCTTCTCGAAACGTGCGTGCGGGACCGGCGGAAACAAAAGCAGAAGATTGTCGACAGCAAAGCTTCACGCAAAGGCTTCAGTGAACCACAGCAGGGTCGGTTTCCGCAAATTGAAGAGCTGCTCCGCGAGTATGTGCTTGAGGAGCGAGTGGCACAGCGGCCCATGACGACAGAACTGCTCCAAGTGCGGGCTATGCAATTAGTCTTAGAAAAAAGTATAATGCGGAGCCTGTTTAAAGCGAGCAGGTGCTGGCTAATTAACTATATGAAGAGGAAAGGCTCTTCCCTCCGAAGGGGAACATGCATATGCGAAAACTTTTGCGGAGAAGTACGATGAAAAGCTTTACAGTTTTCAGAGGTTCGTCCTAAACTTGCGGCGCAACAACGGCTACCTGCTTGGGCAAATCTGGAATGCCGATCAGACGCCTCTTTACTTCGACATGCCTGACACCACAACTGTCGAGAAGAAGGGGGCGAAGCAAGTTCGCGTGCTGACATCGGTCCACGGTAAAACTACAGTGACGGCAATGCTCTGTTACACGTCAGATGGGCACAAGCTTCGCCCGTACCTCATATTTAAATGGAAGACAATCCCGAAAGGAATCGTTTTTTCGAGTGGTGTGATCATGCGGGCCAGCAAAAAAAATGGGTGCGCGTTGCAATCGATGTCTTACTTTTTTTTTTTTTTCGCGGTGGAAATCGGGTGCGCGTTACAATCGAGGGCGCGGTAGAATCGAGTAAATACGGTATTCATTGATAGCGCAGTTGAACAACAAAAACAAGTACATCAAGCGTTCTCTTATCGGCTCGTAAATACTAACACCCTGTCTGTATTCCGAGAACGTCTTGCCAGTGCCAAATGGGATGATGTGTATAGAGAAAAAAATGCAGATGCGGCTTATCACAAGTTTATGCAATTATTTAGGAAATATACTACGCATGTTTCCGGTGAAAACTTTAAAGCAGACAAAGAAATGTCGCAAACCATGGATAGATAAGCACCTGCTTAAGCTTATAAATAAGAGAGACGGGTTGTACGGCTCATTTATGGAAACTAAATCGCCGGAAGCATTAAAAGCATTTAAAGAATACAGGAACTACGTTACAAAACAGTCAAGGGTTGCTAAAAATCACTATTACTTTAATCTCTTCAGTTCATCTGCAGGACCCCCTAATAAAATTGGGAGGACACTTGCTTCAATAACTGGGACTGCACTTGAAAAAACTACCACAGTCCTAAAAGACGGCAATGAACTAAAAGGGGTTGATCTTGCTAATGCTTTTAACGATATTTTTTTTTTGTCCCTTGGTCTGGCATGTGACGGTATTGACCTTTCGTACATGAACCCACCTAATAAGCAGTCATTATTCTTAAGAGGTGTTACAACACAAGAAGTTATTTTTTCATTCTTGACATTAAGTAACAGCAGGGCCACAGATACATTTGGTATTCAAACAGCACCGGTAAAATTCGTCACAGACATAATTGCATCTTGCCAAGAGTACATTTTTAATCTATGTTTGTCAACAGGCGTTTTCCCTCGTAGCATGCAGACGGCATAGGTGACAGTAATATTCAAAAAAGGCGACAAAAATTATCTTTCAAATTACCGCCCTGTATCAGTGTTGCCTGTTTTTTCGAAAGGTTGGGAGAAGGTGATTTTAGCGCGGTTTTCTTCGTTTACTGACCACTTTGGTATCATAAGTCCTGCACAGTTTGGTTTTCGTAAAAACAGGCCAAGTGAATTAACCCTAATGACCCAAAAGGAGTTTATATTGCAAAAATTTGAGGAAAAGAAAATGGTGCTTGGAATTTTTCTCGATTTTTCCAAGGCCTTTGACCTTATCAGTCATGATGTTTTGTTTAAACAACTTGATCGCTACAGTATTCGCGGCATAGCTCACTCTCTTATTACGTCCTACCTTCAGCACAGAACCCAGTTCGTAGCTATAGCCGGGGACCAATCGGAGTTGAAATCTGTAAGAACCGGCGTTCCACAGGGGAGCATATTGGGTCCGTATCTCTTCATATTGTACATCAATGACATAGTCAATGTTGATTCCTCTGTTAAGTGCGTAATTTACGCAGACGACACAAGTCTGTTTTTTGACAATGACTTAGGTGCTGAAATGTCAAATCGAGCCAATAAGACGCTTGCAAGAATACAAAAGTGGGCTACAAGTAATAATCTTAAGATTCATGTAGAAAAAACAAAGGCAGTGATGTTTCATCCACGTAACAAACAATTTCAACAAACCCCCATTAAATTAAATAATACTGAAATAGAAATACTATCGTCTTTCAAATCGCTTGGCGTACTGCAACTATATCGTGGGATTGCCAAGTGAATCACATAGTTAGTATATTATCTAGAGCAATAGGTACTATGCGTTGCCAATGTAACTATCTTCCTACATCCATCAATATGATGTTATATAATTCAATGTTTCTTTCCCTAGTTCAATACGGAATTCTAGCCTGAGGGACGACTTCAGCTGAATACATTCACAAGATGGTGGTATTACAAAAAAAGAGCAATACGCCTTGTCTGCAGAGTGCCATATCTTTGGCATACTGCTGCTTTGTTACAAAGCTTAGAACAATAAGAATCTTTGTACACATATAGGCTATGTCGCATGTATAGAATGCAAAAAATTAAGAATGATAACGCTTTAAAACGAAATTGGCGTCCTTACAGCGACATAACTCTTTTTATAAGTTTTGTCATTCCGAGCCTTGGATATTTAACAAAAACAGAACTACATACGGTGACCAAATGCTACAATCCTGTTTACCTACTGTGCTAAATCAACTACACAAAGAAAATGGTCTCAGCGTATCAACTCTGTCGCTAAAAAAGCTACGCGACGTAATTATGTGATTGCTTGTGCTGCTAAGGGCTTATTTGTTTGTCCTTTTCTCTGTCTTTAGCACTTCGCTTATTTTTTCCCCTTTTTTTTTTTTCAAATGTTTCTATAATGACCTTGTTTATTTATTCCGACTATGGATGTTTACTGTTTTTGTGTTTTTTAATTTAGTTCATTCATGATGTATACCATGTTTTTGTGTGACCGCTGTGAAGCTGCCCAGTGTATCAGGTGACCAGGTTCTCCTCAAACTGCTCAATGCAGCTTTTTTGCCTGGTCATCCTCGCAACTTTGTTGTTGTGAATAAACAATTCAAATAATAATCTTCCCCAGAAGGCCTGAAGCGCCAATGAGCAGAACAGTCGGTGCAAGAGACACACAGAAAATCTTTGGTGTTTGCGATGGGTGCAGAACACTATCACAATTGAAGATGGAGCTCCTAACTGCAGCTCCAAACTAAAGCATAATTCAATTCACAGTGATTGTCGCCTAGTGAACTAAAAAAAGCATGAATGCATCACAAAATAGTGCAAGACAGCTGTGGCCTTTTGACACACAAGCAGCAGACGATTTTCTCCAGAAGGGAGGATTGCACCAATGACAAGGCTTGCAAGAGCAACATGGCAGATGCAACCAATGAGAGGCCTTGTAATAATCATTTTGCTTTTTGAGGGCTTGTTTCTGCGTGGAGGACCTAGCTGAAGCAAAATATTTGAAATCGAGATATGCTCTTTCTATAGAGCCCAAAAAGGTGGTGTACGGCAGTACCAAACTATCAATAATTTTGTAAGGTTTTTTTCTTTCTTTCAATTTCTGCAGAAATGTTGGCAAACACTACCAATCTTTTACCCCTCTTCTACATAGTGAATAGATTTTGGAATCGTACCATTTCCATGTCAATGTTGCAGGCAGCCACAAAGTCGGACATGCATTGAAAGGCTGCCTCTTGAAGTTCGGGGTCACGGGCATTGAGTGCTCGGTAAAGGACGTGGAAGACTCGCTCGCGGCAGGGCAGGTAGTGGCACGTGGCGAGTGCTCGCAAGGCCGCTCGCCGCAATGACACCAGCGCCACAGGGCCGCATCCCTTGTAGCAGGGCAGCTTGCGCAGGGCCTCGTCGTCGGCTTCGCACAAGCTCACTAGCTCTGTGAAGAACGTCTTGTGCTCGGCGACGCTTACATCTAGGGCAAACAGCCGCGGCTGCAGGCTGGTGCAGTACGTGTTCCCTTCCATCAGTCCAATCTGTGCATTCAGGGGCTGGTGGCGAAGCAGGTGCTTCTTGGGCGGCACCATGTCTGCGAGCACCTCGCGGTGCGGCTCCATGAGGGCACCCACCGAGCAGCTCATCACCTGTGCCAGCACCTCCAGCGAGTGGATCGCCTGCTGCCGCACACAGGTGTTCGGGGAAGTAACCTGCCGGACAAGCTCGAGCGTCACCTCGTGCAGCGACTTGCGCTGAACCTCACGCAGGTCGTCCGGGGCATCCACGGGCAGTGGCGCACCACACACCGTCAGCATCTTCTCCAGGTTCGATCTACGAATGGCAGCCAAAGAAAAAAAAAAAGAAGCACACCAAAAGTTGGGCCCTGCATGCATGCCCACGCAATTAAGTGCTTATCGTTCAGCAATTTCTGTGTTATACACACAACGCAACCACTAATAGTGCAGAACCAGTTGCAATGCAATCTTTTTCAACTCCCTCCCACAGCACCTCATGTATACACATAACGCTTATTGTGCTGTCCTCCAAGATAACAGACTAGTTTTAATGCAGTTGCCGGAAAATCTTCGTGACAAATGCGGTAGCAAGTGAGCAAAGAGGTCGTTCCAGAGGTGAATGAACTTAGGGCGGAGGGAGAAAAAAAAAAAATTCCGCCATATCCACGAAGTGAATGATGATGAGTGGGCAAAGCTCCGGAGGTAAACCTGGTAAACCATGAATCCTCTGTACATTTTGCCCACTCGATTTTATTACATCGCTCCCCCTAGCGTACGTTGCCGCACTAAATCGAACGATTGCCTTCAACCAATGACACGCGCCATATGTGACATCACTCCTATTTTAAGATCTCGCGTCTTTCATCAACTACAAGTACCGCTTTCTAGTTTATAACATCTTGCATCTTTTCATCATCAGCTACAAGTACCACTATCTAGTAAACACTACAAGAACTAAACGAGAGGTGGCTACATACAGGAGACGGTACCGCCATCTAGTGAACACTGCTAGAACTAAACTAGAGGTGGCTACATACAGGGGACGATACCGCCATCTAGTGAACACTGCAAGAACTAAACTAGAGGTGGCTACATACAGGCTACAGGGGACGCACAGCCCACGCCCTAAGGAGCTTCGCCCCTAAAAGGAAGGACACTGCGAACCGCAGCACGCTGTGCGCGCTCACCGAGTGGGAGGAGGGCGGTTACCTAAGTGCCGGATAAAGCTTTTGCACCGGTGCCTATGCGGCTAAAGTGTATTGCCTCGGCAGCTTGGCTTCGGCCGCTAGCCGTTGGCCACGCATGACAGGGCACGTACGATCCCGTCCTTATCAACTGCACTCAAAAGTTTCCTGTCTGGGAAAGTGTAGTCGTTATCGAGCTTGCTACAGATATTGGGTTTGCTACATCGTCTATCAATTTCAAAATTTTTATGGCTTTATTATGCAAACATTCACCTTTGCTGCCAGTGCGCAATCTTGCATAAGCTTGGGGAGTTTTGTTGTTGATTTCCCGGCCGTGAACGCAAACTTCTCATCACACGCTTTTCTTGGTTCAGTGCGTAAGTGCAAACTTTTCGGCGCCGGATGTCCATGTAATGGCCAAACCTCCCATAAGAACCCACCGAACGTCAGGCTAGGCTTAAGTGGAGTTGGTTGCATTTTGCTAACAGTCGCATTCTAAGTTGCGGTTTGGTACGGAATGAACGAAATCGACTCTGCAGTGGCTGCACTTGAAGGAAAGGGATAAATATCGTTAATGAAAATGAGGGTGGCACCTGTACCACTCGAATTGTGGTTCGCGATTTGATTGCATCATCTTGAAATTCGGTGCGCTACTGTGAAATCGAACAATTGATGTCTTGCAGCGTGTGAAAAGTCAGACGTGATTTGACATAATTTACATGTAATGCACATAATCTAGGCAGTGTGAAAAGTAGTCAGGTGTCAGCAAATTTTCACAATAGTGCTTTTTTTGTTAGACCCTCTCCCCTTTCACTTTCATTTCATTGGCAATGAAGGTTGTTAAACTTTAAACATTAAACTTTAACAAATGAAAATTGAAATGGTTGTAAGCACCACGCATCACACGTTTGATTCTTGAACATCGAACTGCAAGCTCAACATGTTTTGTACAAGTGCGGCCCTTGAAAAAAGTTCTTTTGCTTATAGTGCGGATATTTGTGACTCCCGCTACTTCCTTATAGGCAATCTATACTTATTTATTTTATTTTTTATTTACGACATACTCCAGGCTCACAGGGCCCAGGCAAGATGGGTGAAGTTACAAAACAAAATACAGAATTTCCAAAAGGTAAAAAAACAAGAACAAACACTTATAACTCAATTTAAACTTTACATTTCAGTAATGTGTCGATCGACTCAACTGATTTTAGCAATGATGATAGTAGTGCGTTTCATTTGTTAATACTGCAAGGAAAAAAAGAAAATTTGTAGGAGGTAATTCTTGCTTGATAAGGAGTTCGGGTTCCAGAGTAATGATGTCTGGTTTGTCTTGTTGTTGACATGCATTGATAAGGACCGGGATGAAAGGAAAACTTGTTATTTTTTAGGAGAAAAAAAATTTAAGCCTGAGTATTTTTCGTCGTGATTTCGAAGCCTGTATTCCATTAATACACACATAATTGCTGTTGGTGAGTTGGTTTTATGGAATTTGAAAAAATAAATCAGACAGCTTTGTGATGAACCATCTCAAGTGCTGCTATATTGTGGTTGGTGTGCGGATGCCAGACAGTGCAAGCGTATTCCTGTTTTGGCCTAACTAGCGCTTTATAAACGTGAAGTTTGGTTTTTTGGGGCGCCTGTTTTTGTTTGTGTTGCAGAACACAAAGTATGGAAAAAGAAGAAGCACAAATGTTAGTGATATGGGAATTTCAACTGAGGTTGTTAGCTATGGTCAATCCCAAGTACTTATATTCATTTATCTCAACTGAGGGATTAGCTGGAAGACTATAAGAAAACAACTGTTTATTTATTTTTTGTAATATGAATGTAAACCATTTTAATTTCATTTATCTTCATGTCCCATTTTTGACACCAAGAAGCAATGTTATGAAGGTTTGTGTTCAGAAGTTTCTGATCCTCTCGACAAACAACCTTATGGTGAGTATGCAATTATCTGCCGATAAGCGTATTTGAACCGGCTACATTACTACATTATTGATGCCGTTTATAAAGATTAAGAACAGGAGTGGTCCCAGCAGGCTACCCTGCGGTACTTCTGAGGCAACACGCAGGCGACGAGAGTAGTGGCCATTATTAGAAATCGACTAGGTGCGTTTGTCTATGTAGGCAAGGTCCAGTTAACTATGAAAGAGGGGAGGCCAATGTATTTTAGATTGTAAAGTAGCTTTTCATGTGAAATGAGCTCAAATGCTTTCTGGAAATCTAAAGAAATTACATCAGTTTGTCCACGTTTGTTGAGAACACTTCCAAAATTGTGAATTACAGTTGTTAGTTGCGAAACCGTAGAAAAACCTTTTCTGAAGCCATGTTGAAATGAAGAAAGAATGTTGTTGTCTGTCAAAAATTTATTTATGTAATTTGCGGCAGTGTGTTGAAGCATCTTACAGCAGGAACTAGTGAGCGAGATTGCACGATAGTTTGTAATTAGCGTGGTATCCCCTTTCTTGTGTACAGGCACTACACGTTCCAATCGCCAGTCAACCGGTGGCGCTGAAGATGACAACGATGTATGAAAAATGTATGCGAGGAACGGGGCGAGTGCTTCAGCATAGCGACGAAGGAAGCTATTTGGGAGGCCATCAGAACCAGGTGATGCTTTAGTCTTTAGGTTAAGAAGCATAGCGACAATACCTGGTAGTGATACAATATCCCCATAATCTGGGCGAAATACAATCTAACAAAGTACTTAACATTTTACAGTGAAACATCAGTATGGCTAATACACATCTTTTATGAAAACCTACATAAGTGTCTCGATCCATTGAAGATTTTAATGAGGAAATGTACATACTATTTCTGCCAATAATGCACAAACACGGGTGCATGCAGTTGGACATAGCAGAATCACCTCTTCAGCCATTTTTTATATATGGGCAAGTAAACAAAATACTGAACCATCACAATTATATTGTATAAAATATAATTCATTTATTTCCTATTGCATTGATCTTTCTCGTTTTCAGTTGTGCCACCAACACAACGTTATGTAAGACACCGTGTGCCCATCACAAGACGTCGCCGGCTATTACCCTCTTTGCATCTCTTACAAGGCTGAGTAGACGACGCTGCCCTTTTGAGACAGCGCAGCTATGAAACAAGCTCTCATTATGCCGATCTTTTTAAAACGCTTTGCAAGACCCGAAACTCTTAAAAACACATGCAGAGCACGTACAAGGCAACAAGAACTCGGGAGGGTGTTAAGCGGAAGGCAAAGAGATTAACAGTCATACCACAAGTATTCTTTTCTCAACACAAGGCGACTATGCCAGGTACCTCAAAAGCCCTCCCCTATCTCTTGCAGACTTCATCCGAATAGTGACATGTGTGCAAGTGAGCTTGGTATTTACGATCTAGTTATAGTCAAAAAGCGGCGACGTGTTCTTTTCATTTCATACCTCCACGGGTGCCACATTACAGCCAGCTTGCTCGACGCACTCCCTTTTCCCACAATGCTCTGCAACCACAAGACACTCTGGGATTGCTTGAAAAGGTTGCAGCTTCAGTTCAACTACATTTTGCAACAGCTCTGTGCCAGTTTCGGGTGTACTCACATTTCCTCTTGGATACTACCTTAGCCGCTTGTATATCGCAAACTGACTCACCATTCTGCAATTTTAAACATTTTATTCCATTTCGTGTCGTTTACTCACTTAGCCATGTCAACGGCTCCATTGGAGACCTCGCCTGTAAGGTCCATCATAATGAAGAACAAGGCCTTGAGGAACAGGTACTGGTGTCCCAGCACCCAACGCAGGGGCAGCCGCTCCACCAGGCACTTGATAGCAAAGCAGCCGCCCGACTTGGCGTACCATGCCCTGTCGTAGCACAGGGCACAGAGCCTCTCGGCCAGGTATTCCACATGCGGGAGTTGGCATGCCCGCTCTCGCGATGTCAGCACCGTCGCAGAGTTCTCTGTGATGAGCAGCATGGCAAGTTGACCCACCTGTTCGACAGTGTACAGGTTAATCCAAACTTTAAGGTGGCGAGAAAATGGCGAACATTCAAAACATTCAAACCATCTGTTGATAAGCGTATAAGCTTGATCTACCATGTTTCACTGGGCACAAATGTAAAACCAGGCCGCTACAGTCACCAACCAATTAACCGGGCCTGGCGGGGACCAAAAAATAGTCCAAAAGATCCAACAGTTCGAAAAAACGACCCAGACATGAAAATTAAGTTTATTTGGATTAGAAAACCTTAAAGAATTTCCCCTATATTGCCATGCTTCATGCTATTCTTGAGGACGAGGGAATTTGGTTCTATATGAGCTACGGTAATTTCATTCGCAAGCATTGGATATCCCTGCCTGTCATGAGTAAGAGGGCACGAGGCACATGCCGGGTGCTGGAATGCGGCACACACATTCACGTACGAAATTGGACAAAATTAGGCTTGTCCGAATATTCAAATGCTTTGAATATTTGAATTTAGAGCATTCGAATTTAAATTATTGAAAATTACCAAGTATTCACAAGGAATGAATAGATGCATATTGATCCGAATATATCACCTGTAGGAGTTTCGCTGCAGTGTAGGAGTGCTGAACCATGAAAGAGCCTATTCAGGAAAAATCCGCCCTGCAGCAAAGCCTATGAATTTAAAGGGGCTCTGCAACACTTTTTAAGCTTGTCCGAAAACGCTGCCCATCGGTAGTCGAGGCTACCGTGGACATGCAAGCCAACTATTATAGCACAGCACGCAGCGTGCAATTCACAATAAATTCTCAAAGTCAGCTGAAAATTGCTCTCTCCTCTCGGCAAATGACTCCACAATCTCAGAAATCATGCGTGACATATTTTCACTCCCCACGCTGTCCCTCCCAGCCCAACTTCCATCGCTTTCGTCGGGACAAGAAGAGAGAGTGCACTTGCAGCGTGCGAGAAATCTTCGCAACTCTGCGCGCAGCGGACATTGAAGTCGTGAGGCAATAAGCTTCCTTGGTGAATACATTCGATGGCGACTTGAAAGTCGTTACGACCACTGTAAATGAAAATATTACACGAAAATTAATTCATTCTATTAAGCTTAAAAGCTTATTATGACGGCTTATATGCTTTAAATATAAAAAACAATAAAATTTTATGTACTTTAAGGGTTATGACTCGTATACTGCTGAAAGTCAAATTCTGCGACTACTCACAGTTGTTTAAACTTCCTTTGAACGAAAAAAAAAAATTTATATAGAGGGCCTACTTCAATTTTTTAAAAATATTGTGCCGGTAAGATAGGTCATAGCAAACATACCCATTTTTTTTTTGCATGTCATGTACTATACGAATTCGATTCAAAATTATTTAACCATTATCACTATTCCCTTCAAATTCACTATTCGCACAAGCCTAGACAAGAAGATTCGTGGCACGCAACCAGAGCCGTAATGGGAAATCCTGGAGGATGAGCTGTGGCTGTGCATTGGGGCTTCAAACTGCGACGATCAGAAAGGCCAGCGTCACTACCCCGACGGAAGCAGTAGAGCCCGGTTCTGAGGCTCTCGGCAAAGAGGCCATCAATCTCCGAAAACACGAGTGACACTGCCTGGACTTGCCACAACCTTTCATTGCAGTTCCTGGGTAAAATACAGCTCGTCCACTTCAAGCCAGAATGGATGTGGCCCGCACCACAGTGAAGACACTGTTGATGAGTTAGGCGGACCCTAACTTAGCCAGAGAAGATGACGAAGAGCAGAATTAACTGGCAATGAGGTCGAGCGGCTGGTTCAGCAAAAGAGGACGACGACTGTAAGAACTTGGGGAGGATGTCGACGACAGAATGACTAATTGTCAACATGGCAAGAGCTCGGAGTCAACGTGGCAACGTGACGAACTGTAAGGACGTTTTGTTATAGAGACGCCATCTTGGATAAATATTAGATAGGGTTAAAGGTGGCTCTAAAGCATATTGTAGTTAGATTTCATTTCAGTCAGTAGTTGACAGGTGTATATATAGATTGTGTGATTGAGTTAATTTTTAAGTGCTTAACACAAATTCTGTGCATTACTTTGGTCTGTCCTTTCTATTAATTGTGTTTGTTTTCCCTCTCCCGTCTCTCGTCCCTCTCAATCCAGTCTTTAGCAAGCGCTCCCAAGATGAATCCATGACACTGACACTGGCATTGTGGACGGCAAAGTAGGTGGCTCAGTGGAACCAAGTAGATAAAACTTGATGCCGGTAGCAAAGAGATGCATGGAACGTCTCGCCTGTTTGATGGGATTTAACAACACGATCTGGGCTTCTTTTAGCAGCTCCGACACTGCACAGTAGGCGAGCCTCCAGCATTTGGCCACCATCAAAACGTTACCATTCAAACCCACATGTTCCAGGTCAATAGCCAAGCACCAAGAACTGTTACAAGCTGCCACTCTAGCGTCACCGGCGCAAAGTAGGCGGCAAAAATGACAGCAGGTTAGTTCGTTCTGCATGCAAGCAGAAGCAGTGAAGAGATCAGAGATGTCTGTGGGCAAGCGAAATGATAGGTTTAATACACTAGCGTACGGCCCAACAAATGCGATTCTTCCGACAACTACAACATACATTAAATAGGTTTACAAGCACGAAATATTAAGAGGCACTAAATTAGCCCACAAAGGAAATTGAATAAGTTGAATAATTAAACAATTGCTAAATATGCAACAGTTCATGAAGTATTAAGAGGTGGTTCATACGTGTGATGACCGGCAGTTAGACTTGTGTGCCGGTACCAAAATCGCCACCTGCGGCGCGTCGGTGTTTTCACCTCCAGCGCGGAGCTCTTCGGATCAGCGGCAGTGCGGTGCGGAAGGCAATGGGGGGGTTTACACCACAGTGAGGAGAACAAAGCAAAGAGTCGTTCCAATTTAGAAAAATGAAAAGAAATTTGCCAATACCATGGAGATATAGACTGTCTCCTTGTTCAAAGCTCTGTATACCTAGATTACGCTTCGGTTCTGCACAACGCGCCGGTGGTATTCTGTGGCTCCAGAGTATGACGGTGGAAGCCGCCTTCATTTTCCTGTGCTGCCCCTTGCCCTTTTGGCAGGAATATGATAAGGGCCCGGAAAACTACCATCGCCAGGATAGAAGCATCCGATATAAAGAAGAGCCTCACGAGCTTTCCGCTAGAAAAGGAAGTATGCCCTGCCACATTGGGAAGGTGGATTGGACCACCAAAGCCTGTGCCTCAGTTTCCTATGAAGTCAATATCGTCCTAGCGACGTTACGAGCAGTTGTGAATACTTCCTGCCTTGACTAGCACGCACATAGTCAGTATTGAAAAATAAGGCGCAAGGAACGCGAGTCGGCATGCAGCAACATGTGACCGGGCGCTGAAGTGACGGGTAGTTTGTCCAAAAGACCAGTAACGTTGGATATAGCTGCCCGGTGACGGAAAAACAATCGCACCAGATTTCGTGTAAAGAACTGCACTCAAATGAGTGTTACGTTCGCACATCCCCTCTCGTGTATTCATCTGACTTTCAGCAAACACGTGGCTCATGTCCAAGCACATCCAATTGCTTTATGCCACAGTGACCACAAAGCAATGGTTACCAAGATGACAAAGCAAATAAAAGATGATATGAAGGATGAAATCATTAGAAAGAGTATTTATGCAATCAATCAATAAATATATATATATATATATATATATATATATATATATATATATATATATATAATGAAGTCTTGGTTTGGAAGACCTTTATTAGGCCCGAGATGTTTCGTCGGTCTGAATACGATGTGCTGTAGTAGTTGTCTGGCCCAGGCTCTATGAATGAACGTCAAAAGAGTTTGCATGCTTTTGCAACAAATCAAGCAGCTGCTGCTTCTGCGAGTCTGTCAAGTCTTTGTTGATGGCTGCTGTAAAGGCCGAGGAAGCAGGATGATCTCCAGGATTGCCTTTAGAGGAGGCAGGGGTAAGAGGCACGACGCACACAGGCTCCAGATCAGCAATGTAGGCGACAGTAGTGCCCCGCGGCAGTAAAATTTTATCTGGTGTGGTGTTCATAGCAGCGAAGACAGCTGATCCATTGTTGAAGCGAGCCACACCTGATGCGAGAGCTATGCCTTTATTAAGGCAACGGGGCGATGGAGTGACCAAAATGTCAGCAGAGTCAACGTCGTTGGACAAAACTGTGACTAATTGATGTTCGTGTGGTGGTAACTCTATGTCTACAGCAGCGATGAGTCGAAGTGGCCTGTAGGTTTCGTCACTGGGCAAGTGGTCTGTGTCGGTAAGATGGACGAGACGTTGTGCACAACAAATAGCCAAGGAAGCAGAGGAAAGAAAGTCCCAGCCTAAAATGAGTTCGTGGGAGCACGGGGATAGCACAGCGAGTTCTATATGATGAAGAATGTCTTCGAATAGCACACGGGCAGTACAGAGAGCGGAAGGGCGAATCATTGTTCCCTGGGCTGTAACCAGTGTTGGTTCATCATAAGGAGTCATGACTTTTCGAAGACGGGCACACAAATCAGCACGAATAACAGAAAACGCAGCCCCAGTGTCCACCAAAGCATAAACGTCCACTCCCTCAACTGTGACCGCAATCATATTGTAAGGGCACACTGGAGAAATCGGAGTCTTGTGTTGGAATGCAGTTTGTCCTCCAAAAACTGCATCGCTTAGTTTTCTGGACGCTAATCAGAAGCGAGGGAAGCAGGCTGAAGAGGAGAAGAGGAGCGACGGTAGGTCAACGGTGAATGGCATCGGGTTGATCGATGACTACTGCGCAGTTCACCGGATGCTGGGGGAGATGGAGACCAACACGGCGGTGACGAATAATGACGGCCCTGGTACAAGGCTCCTGTGATATAGTCCCGTTCGCGTATGTCGTACTCTCGGCGCTCATCTTGCTGGCGCTTGCGGCAAAAGCGTCAAATGTGACCACGATAGCTGCAATAATAGCACGTAGGGCGAGTCTATCAATAAGGCGGGTAGTAGCTTGCGTTTGATGCACCGGGAGA